CGCCCTTCCCATCTCCATCGCTCTCTCCTCCCCCACCCAATCTCCCCTTCCATCGCCCAACTCGTCGCCGTCGCGCTCGATCTGGAACGCGCTCCCCGCGCCCTTCGTATATCCCCTCGAATCACTCACCTCGTCGTCCTCGCGCTCGGCTCGAAATGCTCGCCCGTCGCATTTCGTATTTCCCTTCCCATCACCCACCTCATCGCCCTCGCGCTCTCCTCGAAATGCCCTCCCGTCACCCTTCTTCTCTCCCCTCCCATCACCCCGTCGCCCTCGCGCTCTACCATTCCGCGATTTTGCTCACACATTTCTCTGCACGCGTCCTCGTTTCCGTCGCCCTATCTCTCTCGTATCCCGTCACATTGAAACTCTTTGTTGTTTTCCTCCTCTTGTTTTTCCTACGTTGTGATTGCAGACCTTGCAGGCCCATGTGAATGGCAATTTCTCTGCTTGAATTGTACATGCTTGCACTCGAAATTGGCACGCAATGTGCATGGGATTTGCACGTCGCAAACTTGAGACACATTTGCCCATGCTTGCGACGATTGTTGACTGATAAAAATATGTGAAAGACTCAACCAATGTTTCTCGCGTCAGGCAAAATATTTCAGGAAAACACTTCAACTTTCCAAAGTGAGTTTTGAGATTTCAAGTGGACCCAACTAGAAGGGGGGGGGTCACTATTTTAGCTGCGGGCTTTAAGGGATCGTTGTGAAGAGGATAGCTCTGACAGTTCAGAAAAAAAAAAGTAGTGCTTGTCTAAATTTTCAGACTAAATTTTTGAGGCACCTCTGACAGACAGAGTTCCAGGAGGGGTGTACACTGATCGATCAGAGTGCCTCAAAATGAAGGGAAAATATGTCAATGGTAACTTACATGGAACACTATAACGCGTACGGTAACGATTTCAACGCGTTTGGTAACTCGCTTAACGCGTTTGGTAACTCGCTTAACACGTTTGGTAACTCGCTTAACGCGTATGGTAACTATACACTAGCAGCCCATCACGCGAATGGTAACTATACACTAGCAGCCCATCACGCGAATGGTAACTACATGAAACTCCCGCCGAAATGATCCTTACAAAGAGGAATTTATCGAGTTTGAAAGATTTTACACACAGTTTTGTCTTTCTTGAACAAGTCCCGCCGCGACTTTGAAGGACCCCGTTTGTTCTATTACCACGGACCGAAAAGTTTCAGAGCCGTTTGAAATATATATGTAGCTCGTACAAAAACGGTTAAAATCATAATTTCATAGCATGATTGCGAACTTGCAAAATAATAAAAAAACATTCCCCGAAAGTATCAAAATCCTAGCGTGAGTTTGGCTTAGGAGCCATAGTTTAGGAGCCTTGGTAGTTGAGTTCGAGTTTAGGAAAAGTATCGAGAGGTTTGGAAGGAGAGGAATGGGGTTTCACTAGCAAGAGTTGGGATACAAGTACAACACCCTAAATTGGGTTGTACTCATTACAGAGTACCCCACTGCAGGCTAGACAGCAAATACATTCTGACACACCCCCATAGCCAAAGTGGGGTGTAATCAGCACAATGAGCAAGCATAGAGCAAGAGTTCACAATAGGTAAGTAAGGCTAGAGCTAATCACAGAGGGCAAGTGAGGAGGAGGAGAGACTGTGGGGGAGAGAAGATGGGAGGCGACTGCTGACGCTGCAGACACACAGACGAGCTGCTGGCTCAGTGGCTACCGGAACAGCGCTCCGGACTACTGGGGTAACTGGCCCCGCGGCTAAAAGTAGCGGCAGACGAGCAACGGACCCACGGGCGACTGGCGACTACCGGAGATTGTAGCCTCCGGACTGCTGCTGCTGCTGACGACAAGACTGCTGCCTCCACTCGACCTCCCCAGCTGCCTAACGCCCTTCTCACACACCCCCTGCTCAAACCCTAGCCCTACACCCACAGCACCCCCTTAAACCCTAAACCCCAGACTCCCACACATCCACCCCCCTCAGCGAGAGCTGCAGCAGTGGGAGACGAAGGAGGAGGAGGAGGAGGAGGGAACGGCACGCACAACCGACACCCCCACAACCATCACCCCCACACCCACCCCCCCACGGCTGCACCGGGTCCAGGAGCGGCTGCTGCAGGGGCCAGGGGCGGCTGCTGCTGGGGCGGCTGCTCCAGGGGCTGCTGCTGCTGGGGCGGCTGCTCCAGGGGCTGCTGCTGCTGAGGCGGCTGCTCCAGGGGCTGCTGCTGCTGGGGCGGCTGCTCCAGGGGCTGCTGCTGCTGGGGCGGCTGCTCCAGGGGCTGCTGCTGCTGGGGCGGCTGCTCCAGGGGCTGTTGCTGCTGGGGCGGCTGCTGCTGGGGCGGCTGCTCCAGGGGCTGCTGCTGCTGGGGCGGCTGCTCCAGGTGCTGCTGCTGCTGGGGCGGCTGCTCTAGGGGCTGCTGCTGCTGGGGCTGATGCTGCTGGGGCGGCTGCTCCAGGTGCTGCTGCTGCTGGGGCGGCTGCTCCAGGGGCTGCTGCTGCTGGGGCTGCTGCTGCTGGGGCGGCTGCTGCTGGGGCGGCTGCTCCAGGGGCTGCTGCTGCTGGGGCGGCTGCTCCAGGGGCTGCTGCTGCTGGGGCGGCTGCTTCAGAGGCTGCTGCTGCTGGGGCGGCTGCTCCAGGGGCTGCTACTGCTGGAGCGGCTGCTTCAGGGGCTGCTGCTGCTGGGGCGGCCGCTGCAGTGGCGGCGGCTCCAGGGGTTGCTGCTGCTGGGGCGGCTGCTCCAGGGGCTGCTGCTGCTGGGGCGGCTGCTCCAGGGGCGGCTGCTGTTGCAAGGCAGGCCGCTCCAGGGGCGGCTGCTTCAGCGGAAAGTAGGAGGGAGGGGAGGGGAAGGGCGCGGCCCCCATTGTGCCCTGACGGGCGATGTGCTAGGGAGCCGCGCAGGTCCCCAAAAGTGCCTCGACTGGCAACGAGAGGGGACCGCGCGCAGGCCCCTAAGGCGCCGCGACGAGGCAACGGGAGGGGCCGGCTCGCGGGCCCCGAAAGTGCCGCGACGAGGCGACGGGAGGGACCTGCGTGCAGGCCCCCAAAACGCCTCGACGAGGCGACGGTCGGGGCCAGTGCGCGGGCCCCTAAGACGCCGCGACGAGGTAGGAACCCGCCGCGCGCCTCGGGGCGCACGGCGGGCAGAAAACCGCCACGCGCTCCGAGCGCGTGGCGGGAAGAAAAATGGGATGTCGCGCGCCACAGGGCGCGCGACACACAGTAGGGCAGCGGAATCGAGTGGGCCCACAGGCCAGGAACGTTAAGCTCTGATAACATATCAAAATCCTAGCGTGAGTTTGGCTTAGGAGCCATAGTTTAGGAGCCTTGGTAGTTGAGTTCGAGTTTAGGAAAAGTATCGAGAGGTTTGGAAGGAGAGGAATGGGGTTTCACTAGCAAGAGTTGGGATACAAGTACAACACCCTAAATTGGGTTGTACTCATTACAGAGTACCCCACTGCAGGCTAGACAGCAAATACATTCTGACAGAAAGGACCTCGGGGCTTTTACTTTTTGTAATTACTGCAACGTTGGAGAATTTTTTCATGTGGGAAAAATACATCTCTTTAGAATTACATGTTTCATTAAAAAAAAAAACCATAAACGCCTTGTCGCAAGGAGTTTAGGGTCGCCTCTCAAATTCATTTGCCATCTGAAAGGGGTATAGATTTGTTTGCCCCGGCTGCACGATAGAATGAAGTACAAACAGTTTGCGGAAAGAGCGCCAGAATATCAGTTATGTATGAACAGTTCTTTTCACAACACTTACGTTTTTGCAAATAACTTGAAAATCGGAAAGTGTGTCATAATTTCGGAAAGTGTGTCAGAATTTCGGAAAACTGTGTCAGAATTTCGGAGAGTGTGTCAGAGGTATCTGCTTCAAGATTCGTTAATTTAGTCTGACGCGAGCGGGAAAAACCAGAATCAGGGTCATTTTGGGCGAGGGTTTCTTCTAGTTACCATTCGCGTGATGGGCTGCTAGTGTATAGTTACCATACGCGTTAAGCGAGTTACCAAACGTGTTAAGCGAGTTACCAAACGCGTTAAGCGAGTTACCAAACGCGTTGAAATCGTTGCCGTACGCGTTATAATGCCCCATGTAAGTTACCATTGAGATATTTTCCCCAAAATGAATCTAGGGGCCTGCTCTCGATGTAATCACCAAGCTCCCTAGACTCTTAGAAACTATCTCAGCTCTCCCTGGGTCGCGGCTCTCCCGTCAATCTCAGCTGCACACGCAGCACGGACAGGCTCGAGGGCCAGCGCATCGGCTCGAGCCTTGCTCGCAAGGCGATGCCAGCGATGTCAGCGCGCAACACCACGAATGCCCAACCATGGCTACTGGATGGATGCATGATTGTAATGGAGTCATGCATAGGTAGGGCGCGCCGCTGGGATTCTGATCTTCCCCCACGTGATGCCAGGCTGGTTACATCGTTACGATGGGACCGCGGTTTGCGAATCAGCAGCAGCCAGCTACACGCCAGAACGAGAGAGTCTTCGGGCGGCATGTCGGCCCGTTCCTCGCATGACGAATTCAATTCTGGTAGTTGCGTGGCACTATCCGGTTTCCGAGACACCGGTTTCCGGAGTGCCCGGAGAATCTATTTCCTCAGCGTCCCCTTCGATCTTATCGACATCCAAGACCGAATTTAAACGACGCGGGCGCAGCTGCAGCAAACGCAAATCAAATCATTCACTCGAGCAGCCGTGATGCCTGCCCCTCGCCAGCTCCCACCATCCCCTACTCGCGATCCACCTACTTTCGATCCACCCTACTCGCGATCCCTTCGCTACGCGCGACCTAATCGCGATCTCCTGCTTGCGATCTCCTCCATTTCAAGATCCCCCCCTACTCGATGAGATCACTCGATCCGCCAGTAGGCAGCGATAGAGTCGGCGTGAGCTGGCGAATCCGACACAATTCTTGCCACTGGTAGCGTCGCCAGAATACCCTCGCGGAAATCGAAGCTGGGCGAGAGGCTCTTCACCCCGAGGAGTAAAAGCAGGACACATGCCTGCCTCATTCTTCACTCCACCTCTTCGCAATTCCCTCGCTCCATCTCCTCCCTCCGCACAACCATCGTCTCCTCGTCCCTACCTCACCGCAGTCGTCTTCTCCACTTCACCATCGCCTCTCCTCGCCTCGCCGCACAGCGCGTCTCTCACACGCCTTGGCCTGCCAGGTGATCAGGGCAGCCCGATGAGCAGCGACGAGCAGCCAGTCAGCCACGTGGATCGCGCCCACTTCAACCGCCAGGTAACCATCCCGCCCGTTTCGTCTTCCGATCCTCCGTCCACCATCGCCGCTGTCGCTTCGCCCTTCTTCGTGCCCTGCTGCAAACTTGGCTTTCGACGATCCTAGCTGGTTCCGGAAACTCCCTCCCAGGCTAACTCTCATTGAATCTTCCTCGCTTCTGCGTCTCCTCGTTCCGCCCCCCCACCCTTGCCTTGCCTCGACAGGCGCGTCACCTCGCTGCTTTCAGCATCCAGCTGCACCTCCTGCAAGGCCCGCCAATCACACGCCGCCAGCTGGACGCTGCGTCTCGGCTGCTGACGCGCAGGGAGCTGTGTGACGTCATGAACGAGCGCGCTGCCGCAGGCTTGTGTGCTAACCCTCAGTGTACACGCACTGTAGATGTAAATCTGCGGATCATTTTCGACGCAACTGCAGGCTCCAGCAAGTTTTGCAGCCGCGGGTGTGAGGAGAGATGCAGAGCGGCGATTCTGTGCTTTTCCTGGGAGCAGAGGGGAGGAGAGGGTAGATGGGGAGAATGCTGGAGCAAAGATAAATTAACTGCCATCGTTACGGCTGTTACCACCCCTGACAGCGATGGTGCTTGCGCTGGCAGCCTCCCTGCTGCTACTTCTATAAATGGTTCAGGTTTGGCTGGATCAGGTTCGGCCGTGTCTGGATCAGATGGATCAGATTCGGCTGCATCAGGTTTGGCTGCATCAGGTTCGGCTGTATTATGTTCGACTGTGTCTCAGTGTCCGGGTGAAGACAGTCGCAGAGGCAGAGGCGGCGAGGGAAGGTCGGATGGGGGGGAGGTGGAGGCTGCTGCTGTGCTGACAGCGCGGCTGCAATCCGCTGCTGCCCGCCTGTGGACTGCAGGCATGGCAGGGGCGAGTAGTGCGGGAGGAAAGGGAGGAGGAGGAGGAGGAGGAAGGACAACGAAGGCTAACGGATTCCTGGGTTTGGTGCTCATGGGTGGGGCTGGGGGAGAGGAGGGTGTGGCGGGGATGGCGGGTACGGTGGCGGGTGAAGATGAAGAGGAGTGGCAGAGAGGGAAGGCACCGGGGATCAGGGAAATGCGGAGCAACACGGAGGGTCGTAGAGGGCTGTGGACCGCAAGCATGCCTGCTGCTGCGCCTCTTGAGGGCACCCTACCTGCACGTGCGTGCAACCACTCCAGCAAACCCCAGTCATGGGAGGTACTTGGTGCGAGTGAATCCATCCCGGCCTGCAGTGGGGCAGCAGGAGTGTCTCAGGGCGGCGCTGAAGCACACAGCAGCGGCAACGGTGGCGCTCACTCCACGAGCGATGAGGCTTGCAGCGCGCGCAGCTGTGGCTCGAGGCGAGGGGCGCGGGCGGGCAGTAGCAGCAGTGACGACCATGACACCAGGCGCACGAAGGCTCCCAGTGGACTGCGGCCGACCGCGCGTAACTGTGGCTCGGATTGCGGGACGGGAGGAGAGGGTAGCAGCATTTGCGGTGGCCGTGGGAGTCAGAGTACGAGTATTGAGTCACTCAGCGCCACAGGACTGTGGTCCCACGGCCACCGCACACGTGGCTTGCAGCAAGGACTGGGGGAGGGCAGCAGGGACGCGAGCAGGCGCAGCGGCGGCGTGAGTGCTGCTTTTTGGGAGGCTCTGCTGTGGGAGAGGAGGGGCGAGCCAAGTGACGCGGGAAGCAGGTGTGCTTGCGGTGATGGAGATGATCCGCCTCGTTGCTCTGCAGCCGTTGGGGAGGCCATTGGGGAGGCAGCGAGGCTAGAGAGAAGGAGAGAAGGCCAAGGGGAGGAGGAGCAGGGGCGTGAGGTGAGAGAGGGTGAAGGGGAGGAGGAGCAAACGGTGGAGCAGAGAGAGGGGGAAGAAGCAGGCGAGGAAGGCAGTGGGGACGAGGGGCGACGAGAGGAAGGGACTAGTGTTGAGGCGGTGGGAGTGGAGCGGGTGGGAGGGGAGGTGGTGTGGCAGCGGCTCATGGCTCACCGGGTGCGCCAAGCAGCCTGCAAGGCCCACGTGCTCTCCACGTTCGTCCCCTCGTGGTCCAGTCGCCATCGCATGCCTCAACCCCCACTCCTTCCGTCCGTCTATCCACCCTCCTCGTTCTCCCCCTCCTCTTCCTCCTTTTCCTCCAAGTCTTCCTCCTCTCCTCGGCTCTACCCCCCTTACCGCAGCGCCTCCTGGCCCCTCACCTCCTCCTCTCGCCCCTCCCGCTCCTCACGCTCCTCCTCCTCCTCCTCCTCCTCCTCCTCCTCCTCCTCCTCCTCCTCCTCCTCCTCCTCCTCCTCCCCTTGGCTCTACCCCCCCTATCGCAGTGCCTCCTCCTCCACCTCCTCCCCTCCCTCTCACTCCTCTCACTCCTCGCGCTTCTCTCGCCCCTCCTCTTCTCCCCGGTGCCTGTCTTCTCCACCAACCCCCTCACAGGCCTCGTTCAACCAAGCATGCGTCCGCTCATCAGAGCCCACCCCCACCCCCACCACGTCAACCCACTCTTCCACTCCACCCACTGCCAACACCCGTCTCTCACCCGCTTCCTCGCCGCTCTCCTGCCTGCCCTGTCACTCCTCGCACGAGCCTAGCACTTCAAGGGCCGGCCTTCCTACTGGCGGCTCTCTTCGCCCCGCCCTGCGCACGACCCCGCGCTATCAGCAAGGCAGGGCAGGGCAGCCTCTGGCCGTGCCTCGCAACGTGTCATGGGCAGACGCACAGGGGAAGGCTCTAGTGGAGGACTTTCAGTTGTGCGCGCGCACATAGGGTTGGCGCTCAGAACATTGACTTGCAACGAGTTGGGGCTGTAACCGGCATAGCAAGCAAGGGTATGAGCAGCAGAGCCTGCATGGCAGGGTGTCATGTGCGGTGGACGTATTGGGGCAGGGGAGGGGGAGAGGGGGTGCAAGGGCCCAATGCTGCCAGCCAGTCACCCGGGAGTTATTTTTCTGCCGCTCAAGCATGGCTCCATCCACCTTGGCTGGCAGTGTTGCTTCAAATGGCTATTGCCACTGCCCGGGTATCGCTTCACAAATCACTCAGCATGAGTATCTTTTGCCGCTCAAGGTGGTCTCTCCATCGCTTGAGTGGTTTCACCTGTACACACTAGCGCTACTTCTCGAATCTCGGTGCCAGTCGTCTGTTTTTGTGCCGCGCAAGGGCATTCACCCGTCCAGACTACAAGGCACCACCATCACTGCTTGCTTGCACCAGAGTTACTCCTATGAAGACTCTCTTTCCTCCTGGTGTAACGGAATGTGATCTACGGTACCTTGGCCATACAGGCAAATGCAAGTGATGCGCTGTGTTTTTGTGTCTAACAAGGGCATTTCACTCGTTTATCCAGGCTAGGTGGTGGCACCGCCACTGTTTGCTTGCATGCAACAGAGTTGCTCCACATGCTCCTTTTTCCTCCTGGTGTAATGTCCTGTCTAGCTGTTTTATGCCATATAGGCATTTGTAACAGATGTGCAATGGTTTGTGCCAAAGGGCATTTCACCCATCCAAGCAGTGTGGCGCCGCACCCGCTGATGTGATGTGCTGTGGTGCACCACATTGGCAGTGGCAAGGGACTCGCTGTTTCGCTTTTTGCCTTGGCAAGCGCATTCTCCTTTCCAAGCTGCCTGGGACTCACCTCATTGTTCGCACCAGACCAGTGTATCACCCTGCCTGCAGCTTACCAGTCCCCCCTTCGGTGTGCTGCATTGTGGCTGTGCATGTCTGCTACATACTACGGTACATGTGTGCAGCGGCGTGGCCCAGTTGAACGGTACCTACGGTACATGTGATGTGAGTCACTCTTCTCCCCACATTGCCTTGTGCCACACTGCATAAGGGCTCTTCTGGCCAAAAGAGTTTGTGTACAGTACCGTACCTTCGTGGACCTACAGGTTCAGCAGTACTTCAAGAGATTTCAACAGTTGGCTGAGATGCAAGGATGCCAGCAGATCCACACCCCCTTTCTCACAACCTTTCTCACATTGCCAGTGAATTGCAGAGCAGAGCAGAGCAGAAAATCTCATCTGCCCGAACCGGCATCCAACCCAACCCAGGCCTCACTAGCGGTTACCGGTAGTAGTGTCCCTGCTCCGGTCTAGTCTATACACGTCTGCAGCACATGCTGTGTGGAAGCACGCGGGGAGCGAGTCGTGCGACCCCATGGCAACACCCGCATCGGCCACGATTGTCCATCTGTGCTGTGATCACGCAAGGCAGTGGTAGGCAAGGCATGCACACATGGTAGCATGCGGGAGCAGGACAGGTGCGACTAGTCTCTGTACACGTGTGCTTCACTTGCTGTGAAGTGGTAGTGACAGGCGCACAGGGCATGCACACACAGTGCCATGTGGGAGCACGAGAGGTGCTACTCCATCACAACACACACCCACCCACAGCACAGCCAACAGTCGAGCCAAGCAGCGCTTCCTGCAGCTCCTGCCGCTACTGCTATCCCTGCTGCTGCCCACTGCACTGCAGTAGACCAGGCAGCTTCAGCAATGCTGCTCCAATGAGGAGTGCATGAGCAGCACAAGGTGCTACTCCTCATGCTGCTGCTTCTGCTGCTACTGCTGCTGCTTGTGCTGCTGCAGATCAGCCAATCACATCGTTGATGCCTCCTTGTGCCGCTACTGACCCCCACCTACGGCACAGCGGAAAGAAAACCCAAACAGAGCCTGCTGCTGCTTCTGCAAAAAACCCGATCAGCAGATCAAATCAGAACTGCTTCTCTTTGCATCCACTGCCCCCCACCCACGGCACAGCGGGCAGCAAATCCAAACAGCAGCGCCACCCTCTCCGCCTCCTGCTGCCTCTCCACTGCCTCCCCCGCTGCCACCACCGCCGCTGCTGCTGCTGCTACTGCCCACTGGGACCGGGACAGGCCAGCAGCACCACTCCTGCTGCTGCTGCTGCTGCTGCTGCTGCTGCTGCTGCTGCTGCCACCAGTGGAAGAAGCATGAGCCATGTGGGAGGCGAGTGCGAGAGAGGGCCATCTGTGGTCCTCCAAGCAGCTGAGGGGATGGGCTGCGAGAGGGAACGGCCAATGTGAAACGCGAGTGTCAGTGGGCTGTAATTGCCAGTGCAGCTGCTGTGGCTCACTCAACTTAAACCCATCGCCCTCTTTTCTGCCCTCTGCCATGCTCTCCCAAGCAGCTTGAGTGGAAGCTGCACCTCCATCGTTCCCACCACCCATCCTCACTCCTGCCACGGCCCCACCCCCACCCATCACTGCTGCCATCTCCATATCATCAGGCACACGGCCTTCTAAACCCAACACACTCCCATCTACACCCGCCATTCGCCCCTCAACTGCCAACGACTCCTCCCCCAGCAAAGCCCCTTCCGGCAGAGCGCCCCCCTCAAGCAGGTGCCGTTCATGTGCCAGCAGGGTGGCGTGCAGGCGCTGCAGGTGCGCCCCTATGCGCGCACTGATGGCGTCCAGCAGCGCGGAGGGAGGAGGGGGGTGTGAAGTGAGGGAGGCGGGCGGATGGGCGGTGGAGTCGTCTGTAGGGCTGGTGGTGCTGGCTGTGGTGCTGGTGGTGGTGCGGGTGATGGTGTGCTGCTGAGGCTGTGCGAGCTGGTGTTGGTGGTGGTGGTGGTGGTGGTGGCTGTGGTGCTGCTGATGGCGGTAAGCGTGCAGCAGATCAGAGATGTCGATCCGGTCGCCCACTATCACTGCCACCTGGGAGGGGAGGGGAGGGGAGGGGAGGGGAGGGGAGGGGAGGGCAGGGGAGGGGAGGGGAGGGGAGGGGAGGGGAGGGGAGGGGAGGGGAGGGGAGGGGAGGGGAGGGGAGGGGAGGGGAGGGGAGGGGAGGGGAGGGGAGGGCAGGGGAGGGCAGGGGAGGGGAGGGGAGGGGAGGGCAGGGGAGGGGAGGGGAGGGGAGGGGAGGGGAGGGGAGGGGAGGGGAGGGGAGGGGAGGGGAGGGGAGGGCAGGGGAGGGGAGGGGAGGGCAGGGGAGGGCAGGGGAGGGGAGGGGAGGGGAGGGGAGGGGAGGGGAGGGGAGGGGAGGGGAGGGCAGGGGAGGGGAGGGGAGGGCAGGGGAGGGCAGGGGAGGGGAGGGGAGGGGACGGGAGGGGAGGGCAGGGGAGGGCAGGGGAGGGGAGGGGAGGGGAGGGCAGGGGAGGGGAGGGGAGGGGAGGGGAGGGCAGGGCAGGGCAGGGGAGGGGAGGGGAGGGGAGGGGAGGGGAGGGGAGGGGAGGGGAGGGGAGGGGAGGGGAGGGGAGGGAGGGAGGGCAGGGGAGGGCAGGGGAGGGCAGGGGAGGGCAGGGGAGGGGAGGGCAGGGCAGGGCAGGGGAGGGGAGGGGAGGGGAGGGGAGGGGAGGGGAGGGGAGGGGAGGGGAGGGGAGGGGAGGGGAGGGGAGGGGAGGGGAGGGGAGGGCAGGGGAGGGCAGGGGAGGGGAGGGGAGGGGAGGGCAGGGGAGGGGAGGGGAGGGGAGGGGAGGGCAGGGGAGGGCAGGGGAGGGGAGGGGAGGGGAGGGGAGGGGAGGGGAGGGCAGGGGAGGGGAGGGGAGGGGAGGGGAGGGGAGGGGAGGGGAGGGGAGGGGAGGGGAGGGGAGGGGAGGGGAGGGGAGGGGAGGGGAGGGGAGGGCAGGGGAGGGCAGGGGAGGGCAGGGGAGGGCAGGGCAGGGGAGGGGAGGGGAGGGGAGGGGAGGGGAGGGGAGGGGAGGGGAGGGGAGGGGAGGGGAGGGGAGGGGAGGGCAGGGGAGGGGAGGGAGAGGGGAGGGGAGGGGAGGGGAGGGCAGGGGAGGGCAGGGGAGGGAGGGGAGGGGAGGGGAGGGGAGGGGAGGGGAGGGGAGGGGAGGGGAGGGGAGGGGAGGGGAGGGGAGGGGAGGGGAGGTTGGAAACGGAGAGGTTGGAGAGGGCAGGGAGGGCAGGTGGGGCAGACAAGGCAGGAAGGCAGGAGCACACCACTGCTGGCTGTGGGTGGCAGGAGGACAGATTCTTTTTGGGAACTGGAATGTGGCGACATTAAGAAATCGAAGCAGGTGAGAGGATGGAGATGGGAGGATGGGTGGTGATGGAGGGGGCAGTGAAAGGCGGAAGGGAATATTCTTTTGAGTTTACTTAAAAGGCGGAAGGGAATATAGAGGTGGTGTGTATGGATCGGGCATGGATAGGAAAGCTGGCTTTACCCGTTGGCCTACGGCTGGCAGCGTTTGTCCTCTAGCTTGCACGCGGTGCATGCCGACATGCACCACTGGGATGATGAGGGGCGGCACTTCGCACTGCGCTGCCAGCCTGGGGGGATGGGGTGGGAGGGTTGGTTGGATGGAAGGTGGGGGTTAAGGGGGATGGTGTTGGGCGAGGAAGTTAATGAGTGGTAGCACTGTGTGCTGGCAGCCTGGGAATCATAGTCATGGAGTAGGAATCATTGGGGGGCATGGGGCAGGGGGTCATGGGGGGAGTGATGAGTGGGGGTGATGGGTGGGGGTGATGGGTGGGGGTGATGGGTGGGGGTGATGGGTGGGCAGGGAGGAAGGCGAACAGCAGCAAGGTGTGAGTAGTGATTGTAAGGCAATTCAGAACTTGAAAGGGCTAATGGCACTGATAGATACCTGGCAGTGCACCACTATACGCGCCCTTATTCCATTGCACCACCCTCACCCCACCCTCGCCCTTCAGCCATCTTTCAGAGCCCAGACCCACCACCAACCCTCCACCCCCACCCCCAACCCCCCCTTCCCCTCACCCCCAACCCCACTTCACCATCTCGCACCCCCCTTCCCCCTCCACCCCCCCCCCACCAACCCCCCTCCCTCTTTTCCTCACCATGCCACGCCACGGCGCATGGGCCCAATAGTGCGCCCGCCATCCAGCAAGCGACTGCCGGCGGGGAAAATGTGCACCCACCCGCCCTCATCCATACCCCATAGCGCCACCCTTTCCCCCCCTCCTCCTCCTCACCACGCAACACCTCTGCGCATGGGCCCAACGGTGCGCTCGCCATCCAGCGAGCGAGTGCCCTCGGGGAAAATGTGCACCCACCCGCCCTCGCTCAGGCGCTGCGCCGCTGCCACCATGCCCTGAGGGTTGTGGGGGGTGGGGCGTGGTGGAGAAGGTAGGAGAGAGCGATAGAGGCACATTGTTCTGAGCCAACTGTACGATGTGCACCCCACCCCCACCCCCCTCCAGAGAATGGTGTCTCTATCTGAGAGCCGACTTCTAAGATGTGCACCCTCTCGCCCTCACCCACGCGCTGCACTGCTGCCCGCATGCCCTGAAGGGGGTGGGAGGGAGGGTGGGTCAGCGGCTGACGGCAGGGCAACTGATGCACGGTTATGCCTCTTCGCCCCGCCACACAACCCTCGCCCTCCTCACCCCTCTCCTCCTTCCTCCCGCTCGATTTCCATTCACACACATCCCCCAACCCCCACACACACACATCCCCCCCTGGTTTGCGCAGAAAGCAGGGGCGAGGAGAGGCAGCAGTCAGAGGCACAGAGGGTCCAGCGGAGAGAGGCGGGGCCGAGGGGCTGAGAGTTCACTGTTTGCTGGTCCCTCACCACCCACACCCCCTCCTCTCCATCCCCACACATCTACCCTTCCCCTCCCCCACCCACGCACCCCTCCCCACTCACCGGCTGCTCCAGCCCTCCTCCGCGTTCCACCGGTAAAGCCCGCAGCGAGGTGAAGAAAGCAGAGAGGAGCGGCGAGGAGAAGCAGCGGTCGGTGGCACAGAGGGTCCAGCGGAGAGAGGCGGGGCGGGCGAGCATGAGAGATGGCGGCACCACTGCTGCCATGACTAGCGGGTCGTCCATTGCTGCCACGTGATTGGCCACCTGGTGGTGGGGGGAATGGAGAGATGGGAGGGGAGGGAGGGAAATGAGGGTGTGGGGGAGAGACAGGAGGGTGGGGTGTACCATGGAAAGGGGAAAAGGGGCACCAGAGGAGAGACAGGACTGGGTGACGTGGTGGTGGAGTAAGGGGCATGTGAATAAGTGCAGTAAGGGAACGGAGGGTGGGAGGAGACACGTGGAGGGGGAGAGGCAGGAATGGGTGACGGAGGTTTTAACTAAAGAGCATGTGAGTAAGGGGCAAGGGTGGATGGTTGAGCGGAAGAGGTGGCGGGAAAGAGGGAGAGGGTGTGCAAGGGAGTGTAGTGTAATCTTCACGCGCGCCTTACCAACAGCCGGGGAGGGAAAGGGAGAAGAGAGGGAGGAGGTGCATGGAGTTGCAGAATGGTTGATGAAGAAAGTCCAGGGGAGGAGAAGGAGGGCGAGGGATGGGAGGGTGGAAGGGCGCGAAGCACGGGCAATAGCAGGCAAGCAAACAGGGGGGGGGGGGGGCGGCAACACAGGGAGAGCAGCAGTGGTACCGTGAGAAGGGGCGTGCCGGGGGGGCGGTGGGCAATGGCATTGGTGAGCTTGTGCGCGTCAATCACCTGGTGGGGGGGGGATGGGGATGGGCGGATGGGCGGGGGGGCGGATGTGAGGATGGGGGTGGAAGGGAGGGGGGGGGGGGGGGTAGGTGGGGAGAGATAGGCGGAGGGGTATGGGCGGATGGGCGTGGAGGGTTGAATGGGAAGCAGCGAGGAATTGCGGTGGGGGGAAAGAGGGGGAAAAGTAAGTCAGCAAACGAAAGGCATGGAACTCTCATAGAATTATTCTTGCTGTCACGATCTTTGGCAGCAAGGTGCTTATAACGCACCACACAAGGCGGCGCAAGGCGCCAGGCTCACACGTGAGCCCACCTTGGTGCGGTTGAGGCCGTGCATGAAGGCGTGCGACACGGCGCCCAGGGCGGGCAGCAGTATTGGCTGCGCCAAACCCACTCCTGCGCTCTGCTCCTCCTCGCTCGCCCCTAAACCCCCCACCACCACCGCTGGCCTCGCCCCATCTGCCTCGCTCACCCCGCCCACCCCTTCCGCCTCGCATCTCTCCCCAATCTCGCCGGTCGCCTCTACCCCTGTTGCTGTCAACGCCTCTGCTCCTGCTGCACGTTGCGCATCCGCCGCGTCAGTCAGAAGCCCCGCGGTTCCCTCCGCAAATCGCGCCGTGATTCGCGCCTTGAATTGCGCGAGCACGCTGTTGCCTTTGAACACGCGCACCGCCGCCAGCGACGAAGTCGCCGCAACCGCCGCCGTCGCCATCGCCGCCTTGCGACCGCCGCCCGCCGCGACGGACGCTTGAAGGGAGCCGTAAGGAGCAGATCCGTAACCGTTGTGGTAACCCGACGCGTACAACCCCTGCGCGCGACACTTGACGCAATTCTTCCATTCGCGAAGCCGTTCGCGAATGGTTACACGGTTCGTGTGGAGGTGGTGTTGATTCACGCCACGTGGCGTAGAATGATTGGCTTTTTCCATGACGAGTAAAGCAGGTAAAAAACTCGCTGGTCGCGTGGCTTAATCGCGGATGGCGGCGAGGGTGACGATTGAAGCTTGGAACGGTGGGGAGAGGAGTCTGTTTGGCAAGGCGCGGCAGTAAGCAGAGGTGCGATGGAAATTCGAGCTTGCTTCTGCAGACAAAGGCACTTGGACACAAAGCGCCAGCTACAACTGTGATGGGTGCCAAATGGTGGCACGAAGAGTTATCCAAAATTTCATGGGTTTAGGATAGAGTGACAACTGTGTAGTTGAAGAGCTTTTGTCGAGTGAGGATCAAGCAATGCAGGATGACAAGCATAGAAAAGTCACAATACAAAATTGTACTATGATCTACTCTCGATATACGTCAAAGTTGACATGGAGAATCGCCGGACGAGGTCGTTCTCGTCTGTAACCCGAGCGGGGGCCAATCCTTGGAATTGTCGCACACCTGCGAGACCCATCGCCTGCCACATCGATGACTCGTCCACTCCAAGCTGAGAGTCCGCAGCGGCATCTGCCCGGAAGGGCAGGTGACGTGGCGGTTAGAGAGGGGGGCACCGCGTGAGGCGGGAAACCGAGCAGCGAAAACCCCCCGCTCCCAGCGGTGGAGGGATAGCGAGGCTGAGTGCGCGGCGGTGGTTTCCCTCGCAGGCTCGTGCCACGAGACCATTCCAAACCCTTTTGCACCCTACCTTTTTTCTTCACCCTGCTTTCTCCACCCCGCTTCTCCGACCCCCCCTTTATTACCACTCCCTCATTCCCCACCTCCTTCCCTCGCAGTGCGAGATTCCGTCCTCTTGCTGCCTCTTGTCGAAGGAAGAATGAAGCTCATGATGTCGCCGCTCCTCGTTTCGCTTATAAGCGCGTCCGCTTCGAAACGCCGTACTGTGATTCGGGTGAAAGAAATCACGCGCCCGGCTTAGTCGAATTATCGTCGTCGTCGTTGTCGCGCCAACGTCGCGCCGGCGCGGCGCGATTGACTCCGATGGCCGCCAGCAGTGCGAGCCTCCGCGACCCGTGCAACGATCGCAATCACAATTACGAGTACAATTATGGTAAGGGAGCAGCAGCAGCGGCGAGAGCGAACAGTGGCGGGGGAAGCAGTGGCGGAGGGAGCAGTGGCGGAGAGCGCAGGTGCGCGGAATGCTGTGCGCGCCCATGGCGCGCGCGCGCGTGGCGTTCGCCGACCACCTCGTCGTCACGGCCTGCCTTCCCCCGTGCTCTCCGCCACCTGTTTCCCCCCATGCCGCCACGTTTGCTGCCCCCCATGCTACCATAGCGACGTATCCGCATGCCGCCAAGCAGCCGTCTTTCAGCAGCACAGCAGTCGCACTGGCAGCAGCAGCAGCAGCAGCAGCAGAATGAGCGTGAATGAGAGGTGGGGGATATGAGGGCGTGGTGCATCATGTGCAAAATGGGGTCCAATCCGTTGTGGGGTTGTTTTGCAGGCTCGACGGGGGTTCAACGTGTTGAACTTGTGACCTGTAAACCGAGGTCCAAGGTTACAAACTTCTGTTACGTACCGTGCTTCGTTCACCTCGGCGGTGCGCTCAGTCAACATAGGCGGCCAGCTGGCGCGCTGCCAGCCACTTGCCAACGCAGCAGCGCCGGGTGTGGGAAGAGTGACGTGGAGAGGTGGGGCATGGTTTGTGCAAGACACATAGCGAGTGGGCGGCAGGTGCATGTGTTTGTGTACATGCACACGCTCATCCATCCCACCGTCAAACCCAAGGTCCACCCCAGCACCCACCCAACAATCCACCCCAGCAGCAAGCGACCGCCATGCCCCATCCCCGTCAGCCTATCAGTGGGTTCGGCCGTCTCTCTCCACCTCGTCCTGCTACTGCCCACCGCACCCGCCTCGGCTGTCTGTCAGGTACCACCCGCCTCAGGTACCACCCGCCTCAGGTACCACCCGCCTCAGGCCTTTTCTCTCCGTGACGTGCTGCCACTGCCCGCTGCACCCGCCTCCACTGGCAGGTAGCCCCCACTGGCAGGTAGCCCCCACTGGCGGGTAGCCCCCACTGTCAGGTAGCCCCCACTGTCGGGTAGCCCCCACTGTCAGGTAGCCCCCACTGGCAGGTAGCCCCCACTGGCAGGTAGCCCCCACTGGCAGGTAGCCCCCACTGGCAGGTAGCCCCCACTGGCAGGTAGCCCCCACTGTCAGGTAGCCCCCACTGTCAGGTAGCCCCCACTGGCAGGTAGCCCCCACTGGCAGGTAGCCCCCACTGGCAGGTAGCCCCCACTGGCGGGTAGCCCCCACTGGCGGGTAGCCCCCACTGTCGGGTAGCCCCCACTGTCGGGTAGCCCCCACTGTCGGGTAGCCCCCACTGTCGGGTAGCCCCCACTGGCGGGTAGCCCCCACTGTCAGGTAGCCCCCACTGTCAGGTAGCCCCCACTGGCAGGTAGCCCCCACTGTCGGGTAGCCCCCACTGTCGGGTAGCCCCCACTGTCGGGTAGCCCCCACTGGCAGGTAGCCCCCACTGGCAGGTAGCCCCCACTGGCAGGTAGCCCCCACTGGCAGGTAGCCCCCACTGGCGGGTAGCCCCCACTGTCAGGTAGCCCCCACTGGCAGGTAGCCCCCACTGCACTGTCAGGTAGCCCCCACTGGCGGGTAGCCCCCACTGGCAGGTAGCCCCCACTGCACTGTCAGGTAGCCCCCACTGGCGGGTAGCCCCCACTGGCAGGTAGCCCCCACTGGCAGGTAGCCCCCACTGGCGGGTAGCCCCCACTGGCGGGTAGCCCCCACTGGCGGGTAGCCCCCACTGGCAGGTAGCCCCCACTGGCAGGTAGCCCCCACTGGCAGGTAGCCCCCACTGGCAGGTAGCCCCCACTGGCGGGTAGCCCCCACTGGCAGGTAGCCCCCACTGGCAGGTAGCCCCCACTGCACTGTCAGGTAGCCCCCACTGGCGGGTAGCCCCCACTGGCAGGTAGCCCCCACTGGCGGGTAGCCCCCACTGGCGGGTAGCCCCCACTGGCGGGTAGCCCCCACTGGCAGGTAGCCCCCACTGGCAGGTAGCCCCCACTGGCAGGTAGCCCCCACTGGCAGGTAGCCCCCACTGGCAGGTAGCCCCCACTGGCAGGTAGCCCCCACTGGCAGGTAGCCCCCACTGGCGGGTAGCCCCCACTGGCGGGTAGCCCCCACTGGCAGGTAGCCCCCACTGGCAGGTAGCCCCCACTGGCAGGTAGCCCCCACTGGCGGGTAGCCCCCACTGTCAGGTAGCCCCCACTGTCGGGTAGCCCCCACTGTCGGGTAGCCCCCACTGGCAGGTAGCCCCCACTGGCGGGTAGCCCCCACTGGCAGGTAGCCCCCACTGTCGGGTAGCCCCCACTGGCGGGTAGCCCCCACTGGCAGGTAGCCCCCACTGGCAGGTAGCCCCCACTGGCAGGTAGCCCCCACTGGCAGGTAGCCCCCACTGGCAGGTAGCCCCCACTGTCGGGTAGCCCCCACTGGCAGGTAGCCCCCACTGTCGGGTAGCCCCCACTGTCGGGTAGCCCCCACTGGCAGGTAGCCCCCACTGTCGGGTAGCCCCCACTGTCGGGTAGCCCCCACTGGCAGGTAGCCCCCACTGGCAGGTAGCCCCCACTGGCAGGTAGCCCCCACTGGCAGGTAGCCCCCACTGTCAGGTAGCCCCCACTGTCGGGTAGCCCCCACTGTCGGGTAGCCCCCACTGTCGGGTAGCCCCCACTGGCAGGTAGCCCCCACTGGCAGGTAGCCCCCACTGTCGGGTAGCCCCCACTGGCAGGTAGCCCCCACTGGCAGGTAGCCCCCACTGTCAGGTAGCCCCCACTGTCAGCTAACCCCCACGGTGGCACTTTGCACCGTGCTGTGCTGCACTGCTGCTTTCTCCACCATTCCCACATCTCTAATCCACAGCCGTTCCCTTTGCTGTCTGTGTGGTAGGTACCTGTGCAGCCAGCAACATCTGTGCTGTCTTGCTGTCTTGCTGTCTTATCCCCGCAGTGGTACTGCCTTGGCGTGGTGCACTGTCTCTACCATTCTTCTTTCTTCGTTTCCCGCTCCTCTCCTCGTGGCCGTGCTGTTCCACCTGTCACGGCGGTCGCTAATCGCTCTCTCCGCCCACCACGGCCCAGCTCAGGTGATCTGCCCATCTGCCGCGTGCCTGCTGGGCTGCCCGCACGAGGGACTACAGCCCCACCTGCTGCATCGGCACTGGATGATGCAGCACGCAGCAGCAGGGGCGGTGAGAGCAGGAGCGGTGAGAGCAGGGGCGGTGAGAGCTGGCATTCAAATCAAGAGGCGGTGCAGCTGCGGATGGTCGCTCGCTCCCACCCACATGCTCCTGCCCTCTCTACCGCTGCTGCTGCTGCTTCTGGGGCTCCTCACCCTCCTCCTACTGGCTTCATGCATCTTCTCCCAGCACAATCTGCTACTCCCTTGCCCTGTGCACAGCACTTTGCAACAACTGCTCCCATGCCTGCTCCCGTGCCTGCTCCCGTGCCTGCTCCCGTGCCTGCTCCCGTGCCTGCTCCCGTGCCTGCTCCCGTGCCTGCTCCCGTGCCTGCTCCCGTGCCTGCTCCCGTGCCTGCTCCCGTGCCTGCTCCCGTGCCTGCTCCCGTGCCTGCTCCCGTGCCTGCTCCCGTGCCTGCTCCCGTGCCTGCTCCCGTGCCTGCTCCCGTGCCTGCTCCCGTGCCTGCTCCCGTGCCTGCTCCCGTGCCTGCTCCCGTGCCTGCTCCCGTGCCTGCTCCCGTGCCTGCTCCCGTGCCTGCTCCCGTGCCTGCTCCCGTGCCTGCTCCCGTGCCTGCTCCCGTGCCTGCTCCCGTGCCTGCTCCCGTGCCTGCTCCCGTGCCTGCTCCCGTGCCTGCTCCCGTGCCTGCTCCCGTGCCTGCTCCCGTGCCTGCTCCCGTGCCTGCTCCCGTGCCTGCTCCCGTGCCTGCTGCAGCAGGGGCAGAGGGGGCCCGAGTGAGAGGGGGTGGTGCTGGAGGGAGGTGCGGTGTGGATAGAGCGGAGGGGTTGGAGGAGAGACTTTTTATTGGCATGGGCGGTGGAGGAGGCGAGGGGTTGACGGAGAGATTTCATAGTGGCATTGGCAGGAGAGGCGGGGTGACGGTGGAGGAGAGATGCCTTAGTGGCATCAGCAGTAGAGGAGAGGAGGGAATGGAGGAGAAATTTTATAATCGCATGGGCAATAGAGGAGAAGAGGGGGTGGAGGGGAGACGGCGCGTGACATGGGTGGTAGAGGAGGGAAGAGGGTGGAAGAGAGACGGCGCGTGGCATGGGAGGCGTAGGAGGGGCCACGGCAGGCGGTGCAGCTGCATGGGCACGAGGAGGGTGCAGTGGGAAGACACTACTGAGGGAGGTGGACGGGGATGATACAGTGGCACAGGGACGGGACGGAATGGGTGCGCCAGTTTCTGAGTCGGCTCAAAAGTCACACGGAGAGGAGGCGGTGGCGCAAGGACGGTGGGGAGGAGAGAGGGGCGAGGCGGCGCGGCAGCGGGAGTGAGGGCAGGGGAAGGCGGTGTGAGTGGAGGGGCGGATGCAGAGGGAGTGCAGATTTGATGCTGCGTGAGCGAGGGGTGACGATGGGTGGGAGAGGGGTGGGATTCTGGGAGTGCTGGTGTGCATGGGGCGTGCGGGGCACGGTGGAGGGGAGGGAGACATGGTGGGTCGTTGCCTTGCCTGTGAGCGTCCTTCTTCTCATGGCCGTGTCACGTAATAGCCACCTGCGCATCTGCAAACCCCCACCCCACATCCACCCATCCCCCATCCCACATCCCCCATCATTGCCCATCCCCCCATACCCCGTCCCCCATCCACCCATCCCGCCTCCCCTGATCATTGCCCATACCCCATCCCCCATCCACCCTCATTGCCCATCCCCCCATACCCCATCCCCCATCCACCCTCATTGCCCATCCCCCCATACCCCATCCCCCATCCACCCTCATTGCCCATCCCCCCATACCCCATCCCCCATCCACCCTCATTGCCCATCCCCCCATACCCCATCCCCCATCCACCCTCATTGCCCATCCCCCCATACCCCATCCCCCATCCACCCTCATTGCCCATCCCCCCATACCCCATCCCCCATCCACCCTCATTGCCCATCCCCCCATACCCCATCCCCCATCCACCCTCATTGCCCATCCCCCCATACCCCATCCCCCATCCACCCTCATTGCCCATCCCCCCATACCCCATCCCCCATCCACCCTCATTGCCCATCCCCCCATACCCCATCCCCCATCCACCCTCATTGCCCATCCCCCCATACCCCATCCCCCATCCACCCTCATTGCCCATCCCCCCATACCCCATCCCCCATCCACCCTCATTGCCCATCCCCCCATACCCCATCCCCCATCCACCCTCATTGCCCATCCCCCCATACCCCATCCCCCATCCACCCTCATTGCCCATCCCCCCATACCCCATCCCCCATCCACCCTCATTGCCCATCCCCCCATACCCCATCCCCCATCCACCCTCATTGCCCATCCCCCCATACCCCATCCCCCATCCACCCTCCTTGCCCATCCCCCCATACCCCATCCCCCATCCACCCTCATTGCCCATCCCCCCATACCCCATCCCCCATCCACCCTCATTGCCCATCCCCCCATTCCCCATCCCTGGCCTCCCATCCCCGATCATCCCCCCATCATCCCCCATCCCCCCATCCCTTATCCCCCATTCCCCCATCCCCTCATTTGCATCATCCTCCATCCTCCCATACCCCCATCCCCCCACCCCCCATCTCCCCACCCCCCATCCCCCCACCCCCCATCCCCCCATCCCCCTCCCATTCTCCTCCCGTCCTGTGTCCTCCTCCCACCCCCGTCCCCAGCTAGCAGCAGTGCACTCCTTTTTCAACCCCCATTACTTTCCATCCGCCCGTTCCACCCCCTCACCCAACCCCAACCCCCCTTTCCATTCCACCCTCCTTCCTCAGCTATCAGCAGTGCACTCCGTGTGTCTGCTGCCTGTGTGCCCGCCTGCCCTGCCAGCCACTGCCAGCACGTGTGTGTGAGGGAAGGGAGGCCTTGCCCTGCCCCGCCTACAGGCTTGGGCGGCAGCAGGCAGGGCGGCAGAAGACAGGACGGCAGCAGGCAGGGCGGCAGCAGGCAGCAGTGGGAGATAATGCAGGTGCGAGAGAGTGCAGGCCGGCAGGGGGTAGACTGGATGGACATGCAGTGGGCAAGGATGATGGGAGTGGGAGTGCTGGTGATTTTCATGACAGGGAGGAGGGGGTAAAGGCAGCTGGTGGTGGGAGTGGGAGGGAGGAGGAGAAAGAAGGGAACACACAGGGAGAGGAAGAAGAGGGAGGGGATGATGGAAGGGCAGAAGGGGGTTCAGCAATTGAGGGAATGGGGGAGGAGTGCGAGGTCTGGAGGGAGGGAGTGGATGGGATGATGAGGACGGGTGGGCAGCGAGGGGAGGTGATGAGGACGAGTGGGATGGGGCGGCAGGGGCAGGATGGGTGGAGGAGGGAGGAGTGGGGCCGAATGGGGAGTGAAGAAGAGGAGGAATGGGGCCAAAAGAGGCGTTCGTTTACCTTTCTGCATGAGAGGGGCGGCAGCAGGGAGGGCAGCAGGCCTGGGCAGCGCAGAGGCGTGTGGGTGCGACACTGAGAAGCACGGCGTGCTGGTGGCTCGACTGCTCTGCTCCCTTTACCCTCCTGCTGGGACTAGTTGGTTCTCGTAGAACAAAAAAAAAAAAAAAAAAAAAAAAAAAACTAACCTCATAATGTTGCCCCACACCCCTCTCCTTACGCCCCATCCCCTCCGCCCTCCTCGTGCATTTCAGCACCACATTGTTGCCAAATTTCACCGTTCTTCTTCCATCGCTCATGGCGTCCCGTCCCTCACGCCGTCCTCTTGCTGCATTCAGCACCACCTCAATCTCATTGTTTCTCCATCCACCTTTTTTCCTCATGCCATCTCCCTTGTTCTGTTTCTCTATCTTCTCTGGGCGTATCCCGCAGTGGTGGCAGGCCAACTGTTCACATGGAGTTGCTGGCGTGCGCATATTCCGCCCCCCTGTGTTTTTGGGAACGGCATCTGCCTGCCCCATAATCTCTTCCATCTGTCCCTTGGTCTTTTCCATCTGCCCATTCGTCTTTTTCCATCTGCCCGGCACACACTTCATTTTCCCCATGGTTGCTTCTCCCGCACCCATCTCACACCTCTCCCACGCCCATCCCACGCCCCTTGTGCGGTGCACCCCTCTTTCCCTCTCCCTTCCCACCCTGCTTACACTGCCTGCTGGACCTTCCCCGCAACTGTCACCACCCCTTCCACACCCATCTCACACCCCTCCCACACCCATCTCACACCCCTCCCACACCCATCTCACACCCCTCCCACACCCATCTCACACCCCTCCCACACCCATCTCACACCCCTCCCACACCCATCTCACACCCCTCCCACACCCATCTCACACCCCTCCCACACCCATCTCACACCCCTCCCACACCCATCTCACACCCCTCCCACACCCATCTCACACCCCTCCCACACCCATCTCACACCCCTTCCACACCCATCTCACACCCCTCCCACACCCATCTCACACCCCTCCCACACCCATCTCACACCCCTCCCACACCCATCTCACACCCCTCCCACACCCATCTCACACCCCTCCCACACCCATCTCACACCCCTCCCACACCCATCTCACAACCCTCCCACAACCGTCCCCTCCTCTTTCCCCCCAACCCCCGTCCAGACAGAGGAGGTGCATGCAGGGGAGCTCCGCTGGGTGGGGGGTGAGAGGGTGGGGGGTGAGAGGGTGGGGGATGAGAGGGTGGGGGGTGAGAGGGTGGGGGGTGAGAGGGTGGGGGGTGAGAGGATGGGGGATGAGAGGGTGGGGGTTGAGAGGGTGGGGGGTGAGAGGGTGGGGGGTGAGAGGGTGGGGGGTGAGAGGGTGGGGGGTGAGAGGGTGGGGGGTGAGAGGGTGGGGGGTGAGAGGGTGGGGGATGAGAGGGTGGGGGGTGAGAGGGCGGGGGGTGAGAGGATGGGGGATGAGAGGGTGGGGGGTGAGAGGGTGGGGGGTGAGAGGGTGGGGAGTGAGAAGGTGGGGGGAGGAAGGGTGGGGGGAGGGAGGGTGAGTGATGGGAGGGTGGGAGATGGGAGGGTGGGAGATGGGAGGGTGGGCGTTGGGAGGGTGGGCGTTGGGAGGGTGGGCGTTGGGAGGGTGGGCGTTGGGAGGGTGGGCATTGGGAGGGTGGGCATTGGGAGGGTGGGCGTTGGGAGGGTGGGCGTTGGGAGGGTGGGCATTGGGAGGGTGGGCATTGGGAGGGTGGGCGTTGGGAGGGTGGGCATTGGGAGGGTGGGCTTTGGGAGGGTGGGCATTGGGAGGGTGGGCATTGGGAGGGTGGGCGTTGGGAGGGTGGGCATTGGGAGGGTGGGCATTGGGAGGGTGGGCATTGGGAGGGTGGGCGTTGGGAGGGTGGGCATTGGGAGGGTGGGCGTTGGGAGGGTGGGCATTGGGAGGGTGGGCATTGGGAGGGTGGGCGTTGGGAGGGTGGGCATTGGGAGGGTGGGCGTTGGGAGGGTGGGCATTGGGAGGGTGGGCGTTGGGAGGGTGGGCATTGGGAGGGTGGGCATTGGGAGGGTGGGCGTTGGGAGGGTGGGTGTTGGGAGGGTGGGCGTTGGGAGGGTGGGCATTGGGAGGGTGGGCGTTGGGAGGGTGGGCATTGGGAGGGTGGGCGTTGGGGTGGTGGGCGTTGGGAGGGTGGGCATTGGGAGGGCAGCAACTCAGGGTGTTCCTCTGCAGCTTGTGGGAAGCTTCCAGCTCACAGGTTTGAATCGTTTCATAAGTGTGTCCCTGGCTATGTTCTCCCCTGTCCTTCACTCTCCCTGTGCTGCCTGCCTGGTCCCAGGTGGTTCGCCTCCAGCCACCCTCTGACTCCTCACTATTTGCAGCACAGCTAGGGCTGCCATGCGCGGCACAGCAAGTGGTGCCATGCTTGTCATGTCACAGAACAGACTGTTGCCGTGGAGAGTTGTGGAAGTCGTTGGACGCCCACCGGTCCCTGCAGGGCACTGATGCCACTTGCACTGACACCAGCTCCGGCACTCCACTCGACCTGGCGCTTGCCTGTGCGAGATATCAACATCTCATGCGTCAACAACTCAACATCTCATGCGTCAACAACTATGCGTTGGCAAACTATTCCTAGGCCCTCATTTGCATGTTAGTATATTCCACACACTCTGTTCTAATCATAATTCACGTCATGAAAGAACATGGTTTAGCTGTATCTGGTTCAACAAACCCCAATATCCAACTGTCTTGAGCATCAACAATGATAAAAGGAAGGTCCTGGAAATACGATACTAAGCGACCCCCTTAAAGCAAGGGTGCACTTTGGGGGGGGCTGTCTCAAAGGTTTATCACTTGCCTCCCCTTTCCCGGTCTGTTCCTCCAACCCAACTCGCCGACGAATTTTATTGTGTTCGCCAGCACATTCTCCAACCCTAGCTCCAGTGTTTCATATGGTTGACCTCTTCGCCAACCATTCATAGCACCCTAGAGCGTGTACCAAACCAATACACCCGAAAACCACCCCTAGGAATGTGCACCCTTGCTTTAACCTCGCAAATCTGCTCCTGATCCAAAGCGCTGAATACAATAGCGATGAGCTCCTTGTCTTCTGCACAGCTGGTCGTAATCTGCACTATCCAAAGGTGGAATCACGCACGCCATGAAACACATGCCGTGATTACGCACGCCATGAAACGCATGGCGCAAGATAGAATATACGGGCGTCCAGTCGAATGATACAGTACCTGTGAGCGGAGAGGCTCGTGGGTGGGAAGGCGAAGATCATCCCTCGTGTCGCCCGCATCGTTCATAAGGGACACCTGAAGCAACATGATGCCACGTATCAGGACGCCAAGAACAAACGCCGAGGAGCAACAACATGACACAAACCTATCGACACTTACTCTGTCTTCCCCCACCAAGCCGAGAATCCGATATTCCGTTTTGACCACTGTTGGAATCTGGGAAGCCATCAACCATTCGTGAGAAACGTGACAGGCACGAACGACCAACAAAGATTGCTGTGCAAATCCACTCACCTCGACATTGAGAGCAGCCGGCACAGACTCTTCCAGCCTTTCATTGTTGAATAAATCAGTTGCGACAAAATGACACTTCTTGTGACCGTTCGTCGTAAGAGAGGTAGTAACCTCCACTACCTGTGGAATTTCGATCATGAAAATATGAGAAAAACGCGAAACATCAGCGGCCAAGCTACCATTTCGCGGGAAAGAATGGACAACCGGAAGCGAGCAATCTCGCTGCACTGATACAGCTGAACATTCCCTCATCGCATACCTTGCAAGGCCGCCCCGCAATTACAATGTATCTTCCCTTGCGAACACTTCCAGCCTGTTGCGAACTCGTCGTCGACATGGCTTCGCTGCCTTGGACCTAGGAACGACGAGGGAAACACCGGCAGTGGGGAGGAAGGCGAGCTGAGCGCGCAGAACAACTGAAATCAAGATGATGGGATCGAGGCTAAAATAATCGTACGGTGCGTTCACGGGAGGTCGAGATGCGTTCAAACAAGAGTGGCCAAAACGAAGGAAACGTCAAGATAACTTTGAAGCATGTTCTAATGGGCGTCTTGACCTCTGTGGCCAGGACGCCCCATTCGGGATTGTCACATCCCGCGCGGACATGGTTCCGATCGCGTCAGAAGTCGGACGCGCATCGTCGAGCTAAAAACGATAAATACAAACATGGCGTCTCAAAAATGCCTTTCCTTCTTGCATCGTCCTAACAGCCGCCCAAGCAGTTCAGCAGAGGGTTCTGGAATCTGGAATCTGGGTGCATTTGGCCGGCTCACGCGGAGTTCATTGTAAGCGGTTGAGTACGATGCTGCAGAATCCACAGCGGTTTACTTTCTTCGCCACTGTAAACCGCTCTTCACCGACTTTAGCAGTGATACATGAAACGTGATCCGCCCCACCAACCCAAGCAACAGACGCCGCTCAACCGATAGCGGTGTCCCCGCGACGCATTTGAGTTGCGTGTTATAGGGAATTTCTATTTTCTAAATTCTAAAACCGTGCATGCAACATTTTGTCTAAATTATCTTACATTTTGTATAGATGTCTAAATTCTAATACCGTGTTATGTGCTTATAACCGGTCCAACAACCGGTGCATTAGACGAAGGGCGGTGTTATGAGTTGTACTAAACAGAGTGCGCGGAAGACTTTTAAAAAAGGATGAATTAGAGAATGCGGATTGAATGAACAAGGCGAGCATTTATAGGGCGAATACGTGCTAGGCGCGGACCTCGGGACGTGCATGGGTTGGATGTGTCGCGATTGGTGCGGAGCGACTCGGCAGTGGTTCGGGCCGAAGTGTATGCCGAACCTTGAAACTGACGCGAAGTGCTCGGAGCAGCCTCTACAGTAATGAATTTATATTCATTACAGGCGGAAACAACAGTGAGCAGATTGTCAGCAAAAGCAACCGCTTGCAAAAATTTGCTCAACATTCTAAAAACAATACCTTACTGAACTCTTTTGAACAGAAGCAACAGCTGCCTTGATTTTACTCAGCCAATACCAGCAGGAAAAACAGGGGAATGTACAACTGTTACACACACACAACTCCCTAACTGCATAACACAACTTGCTATCTGTACACTCGGGGCAACCCATGGCAACAGGCTGCAACCACCAACACAGAAAAGAGCAGAGCAATGTAAGAGTACAACCAAACCACATGACATCTGTTTCTGGTACATACGGCCTTGCATCCTCCTGCCACCACTTCTGCCTCTGCTGCCTCCGCTGCCACCGCTGCCACCACTGCTTCCTCCGGTGCCAAAGAACATATTCTTCTTTCCATTCATTCTCCACGCATGGTGACTCGGACTGCAACCACTGTTGTCTCCACCCTTGCTGTAACCCATATCACTGCCTGCCCTCTCGGCACATCGGCACTGACTGCCGCTGCTGCCAGTGCACGTGCCGCTGCAGCTGCCACAACTGTCATCACCACCAGTGTCACCGCTGCCACTGCCAGCACCACTGTTGCCACTCAATATGGCAGTGTCACCAGCCCTACTGCAACCACTGCTACAGTCAGCCGTGCGACACTCAATGTTGTCAGAGCTACCAGTGTTACAGTCGATGGTGCCACAGTCACTGGCGCTACAGTCGCTGGCGCTACAGCCACTGGCGCTACAGTCACTGGCGCTACAGCCTCTGGCGCTACAGTCACTGGCGCTACAGTCAGTGGTGCTACAGTCAGTGGTGCTACAGTCAGTGATGCTACAGTCAGTGGTGCTACAGACAACTGTGCTACAGTCAATGGCGGCACAGTCCATGCCGGTGCTATAATCTTCAGTACTACAGTCAACCGTGCTACAGTCAACCGCGCTACAGTCAACCGTGCTACAGTCAAGCGCGCTACAGTCAACTGTGCTACAGTCAACCGCGCTACAGTCAACCGTGCTACAGTCAACCGTGCTACAGTCAACCGTGCTACAGTCAACCGTGCAACAATCGACAACATCACAGCCAACGTTGGGACCGATATCCCCACACGCTGCAGTGCTGATGCTTCTCCCACTCCCACCCCCCCTAGCCAGCCCATGCATCTGCTCCATCTCTGGTGAATTCGCGTTTCTGCTTGCACCCTTACCCACCTTCTCCTGCACTACTAGCCTGTCAGCAGCATCAGCATGGCTGCTCTGACAGCAAGTATGGGGATTGCTTGCCTGGCACACAGGGCAGCGCTCCTCATGCCCCACCACATGCTGCCCATCTGCGCCTTCCTCTCAATGGTTTCCCGCACACGCCTTTTGCACATGCACCACTCCACCACTCACCTTGCACTCTGCTGTAAGACCCTTTCCACTCCTCCAGTCGTTCTTACAACCCCCCTCCCTCACGACTCCCTCTCCGTCATCCCTCTTCTTTTCCTTCCTCCACTCCCTCTCTTGGATGCAACACTCTCCTCCACACGCTGCTCTGACCCACGGGTGTTTCAGCACCTCGTGAGCCTTAAGCCTTCTCCCAGGATCCGTTACAAGCAGACACCTTAACAGCTGCTTTGCCTCCCTCGAAATGCCCTCCCAGACCTCGCCTTTCAGGTCCGGCGCCGAGCCTAGGACCGAAGCGAAAACCTCACGGTGTCTCCTCCCGTGGAACGGCACAGTACCTGAAGGATAGGAAAGCAGAAATCATTTAGTGCAAAGCATAAGTGGGAATGGAAGATGGCAAACACGTTTAGCGGTAAGATATTTACGGATGTTCTAGATTTAGGGTTGTGCATCAGGCAGCACCTTCACATGCCCTTCTCATCAGCTTCTTAAAAAGGGGTTTCAACCAGATTACCACCATATAGATAGTAAATATCGCCACCACACCATGCGTTTAAATCGCAACATACCCGACAGGCAGGTGTAAAAATCGCAACATACCCGACAGGCAGGTGTAGAGAACGCAGCCGAGGCTCCACATGTCGACCTCCCCCGCATAGGGCCTCCCCCGGATGATCTCAGGAGCCATGTAGAAGGGCGAGCCCACCACCCCACATGCCGCTGTCTGCCCGCGCGACAGCGTTGCTGCCAGCCCGAAATCCGCCACCCTCACTTGAATGCTCGTGCAGGGACACGCAGGGGGTTTGGTGGCAGTGGTGGAGTGAGTGGGAGGAGGGGACGAGCAGAGAGGAGGAAGAGGAGGTGGATGAGGTGCAAGAGGAGAAAGGGAAGCGGTGGGAGAAGAGCGTGGAAGGGAAAGACGGGGGGAGGAGGGATGGGAGGCGAGAGAGGGGGATGGTGGCTGGGCGGTTTGTGAGAGGTGGAAAGGAGATGATGGAGGGAGAGCAGGAGAGGGAGATGATGGAGGGAGAGCAGGGGAGGGAGATGATGGAGGGAGAGCAGGGGAGGGAGATGATGGAGGGAGAGCAGGAGAGGGAGATGATGGAGGGAGAGCAGGGGAGGGAGATGATGGAGGGAGAGCAGGGGAGGGAGATGATGGAGGGAGAGCAGGGGAGGGAGATGATGGAGGAAGAGCAGGGGAGGGGGATGATGGAGGGAGAGCAGGGGAGGGAGATGATGGAGGGAGAGCAGGAGAGGGAGATGATGGAGGGAGAGCAGGGGAGGGAGGTGATGGCGGGAGAGCAGGGGAGGGAGATGATGGAGGGAGAGCAGGGGAGGGGGATGATGGAGGGAGAGCAGGGGAGGGAGATGATGGAGGGAGAGCAGGAGAGGGAGATGATGGAGGGAGAGCAGGGGAGGGAGATGATGGAGGGAGAGCAGGGGAGGGAGATGATGGAGGGAGAGCAGGAGAGGGAGATGATGGAGGGAGAGCAGGGGAGGGAGATGATGGAGGGAGAGCAGGAGAGGGAGATGATGGAGGGAGAGCAGGAGAGGGAGATGATGGAGGGAGAGCAGGGGAGGGAGGTGATGGAGGGAGAGCAGGGGAGGGAGATGATGGAGGGAGAGCAGGGGAGGGAGATGATGGAGGGAGAGCAGGGGAGGGAGGTGATGGAGGGAGAGCAGGGGAGGGAGATGATGGAGGGAGAGCAGGAGAGGGAGATGATGGAGGGAGAGCAGGGGAGGGAGATGATGGAGGGAGAGCAGGAGAGGGAGATGATGGAGGGAGAGCAGGGGAGGGAGATGATGGAGGGAGAGCAGGGGAGGGAGATGATGGAGGGAGAGCAGGGGAGGGAGATGATGGAGGGAGAGCAGGAGAGGGAGATGATGGAGGGAGAGCAGGGGAGGGAGATGATGGAGGGAGAGCAGGGGAGGGAGATGATGGAGGGAGAGCAGGGGAGGGAGATGATGGAGGGAGAGCAGGAGAGGGAGATGATGGAGGGAGAGCAGGGGAGGGAGATGATGGAGGGAGAGCAGGGGAGGGAGATGATGGAGGGAGAGCAGGGGAGGGAGATGATGGAGGGAGATCAGGGGAGGGAGATGATGGAGGGAGAGCAGGAGAGGGAGATGATGGAGGGAGAGCAGGGGAGGGAGGTGGTGAGGGAAGCGGGAGGAAGGGAAAGGATGCTGTGAGAGTAGGTGAGGGCGAAGACTGGAAATAAATTTCCCTTATGCTGCTACCTGTGTCGTTACTGCTGCTGCTGCTCCTCCTCCCAGTGCTTGTGCTGCTGCTGCTATGTCGAGCAGACGGGACTGAACTTATGGGAACATCCCTGGCTCGTGCTGCTGTTCCCCCCACTGCAGTTCCCACTGTTTCTACTGTCAACGCTGGCACTACTACCCTCAATTTCACTGCAGTTGCACTCAGCTACAGTGCAAAGGCCTCTACAAGCACCGGGGCCGCTACTAACGAGTATGTTTTCTGGCTTGAGGTCGCGGTGAACTATGCCTGTGCGATGCATGGCGTGCACTGCCAGCAGCAACTGCCTGGGGGGGAACAGCATGGGGAATAGGAGGCAAGGAGGAGGCAAGAAGGGCAAGGAGCAACTGAGAATCCAGCAGTCATAATGGTCTCCGCAAGGGCAGTGGTGAGTGCGGGTGTGAGGTACTTGAGGTTTGGTACTTGAGGATTGGTACTTGAGGATTGGTACTTGAGGATTGGTACTTGAGGATTGGTACTTGAGGATTGGTACTTGAGGATTGGTACTTGAGGATTGGTACTTGAGGATTGGTACTTGAGGATTGGTACTTGAGGATTGGTACTTGAGGATTGGTACTTGAGGGTTGGTACTTGAGGGTTGGTACTTGAGGGTTGGTACTTGAGGATTGGTACTTGAGGATTGGTACTTGAGGAAGGGTACTTGAGGAAGGGTAGTTGAGGATTGGTACTTGAGGATTGGTACTTGAGGATTGGTACTTGAGGGTTGGTACTTGAGGGTTGGTACTTGAGGGTTGGTACTTGAGGGTTGGTACTTGAGGGTAGGTACTTGAGGGTTGGTACTTGAGGTTTGGTACTTGAGGATTGGTACTTGAGGATTGGTACTTGAGGTTTGGTACTTGAGGATTGGTACTTGAGGTTTGGTACTTGAGGATTGGTACTTGAGGTTTGGTACTTGAGGTTTGGTACTTGAGGTTTGGTACTTGAGGATTGGTACTTGAGGTTTGGTACTTGAGGTTTGGTACTTGAGGTTTGGTACTTGAGGTTTGGTACTTGAGGGTTGGTACTTGAGGTTTGGTACTTGAGGATTGGTACTTGAGGTTTGGTACTTGAGGATTGGTACTTGAGGATTGGTACTTGAGGGTTGGTACTTGAGGGTTGGTACTTGAGGGTTGGTACTTGAGGTTTGGTACTTGAGGTTTGGTACTTGAGGTTTGGTACTTGAGGTTTGGTACTTGAGGATTGGTACTTGAGGGTTGGTACTTGAGGGTTGGTACTTGAGGATTGGTACTTGAGGGTTGGTACTTGAGGATTGGTACTTGAGGATTGGTACTTGAGGATTGGTACTTGAGGGTTGGTACTTGAGGGTTGGTACTTGAGGGTTGGTACTTGAGGATTGGTACTTGAGGATTGGTACTTGAGGAAGGGTACTTGAGGAAGGGTAGTTGAGGATTGGTACTTGAGGTTTGGTACTTGAGGATTGGTACTTGAGGGTTGGTACTTGAGGGTTGGTACTTGAGGGTTGGTACTTGAGGGTTGGTACTTGAGGGTAGGTACTTGAGGGTTGGTACTTGAGGTTTGGTACTTGAGGATTGGTACTTGAGGATTGGTACTTGAGGATTGGTACTTGAGGATTGGTACTTGAGGTTTGGTACTTGAGGATTGGTACTTGAGGATTGGTACTTGAGGATTGGTACTTGAGGTTTGGTACTTGAGGTTTGGTACTTGAGGTTTGGTACTTGAGGTTTGGTACTTGAGGTTTGGTACTTGAGGATTGGTACTTGAGGATTGGTACTTGAGGTTTGGTACTTGAGGATTGGTACTTGAGGTTTGGTACTTGAGGATTGGTACTTGAGGATTGGTACTTGAGGGTTGGTACTTGAGGGTTGGTACTTGAGGGTTGGTACTTGAGGATTGGTACTTGAGGTTTGGTACTTGAGGTTTGGTACTTGAGGTTTGGTACTTGAGGTTTGGTACTTGAGGGTTGGTACTTGAGGGTTGGTACTTGAGGATTGGTACTTGAGGGTTGGTACTTGAGGGTTGGTACTTGAGGTTTGGTACTTGAGGATTGGTACTTGAGGATTGGTACTTGAGGATTGATACTTGAGGATTGGTACTTGAGAATTGGTACTTGAGAATTGGTACTTGAGAATTGGTACTTGAGAATTGGTACTTGAGAATTGGTACTTGAGAATTGGTACTTGAGAATTGGTACTCCTGACATGCCCTGTGGCAGGGGAGAAATCAACACAGGGCATGAAGAACGGCGAAATCATGCACTCATGAGCGGGCGGGGGGATGGGACGGGAGGAACAAGGGGGGCAGGGGTGGAGTGGAAGAGGAGGAGGAAAGGGGAAAGTGGGTAGGAGTTAAGGGAAGGGATGAAGGGGGGACGCACGGGGATCACAACAGAACGCCGTGCGTTACCCCTCAACCTTATGTATGCCTGTATTTTCTTGTTTGAGGCGGTGGGATGTTGGTTGAGTGAAGAAAGGGGGGGATTAGAGGACATAAAGGGCTTTTGTGGGATGGGCGTGCACCTGAACACAGCTGCAAGTTGTGCTTCGTTAACTCGTTCCTGCTTTATAACGAGGGCAAATAGATCGTTGCTACAGAGGCAAAGGGTGGTAGCGATAATAAGGGTGCGTATGCGCCGGGGATACATACCTGAACACAGCGGTGGCTTGTGCTTCGGTAAGCCGCTTCTGCCTTATAACGAGGTCAAACAGATCGCCTCCGGGGCAGTACTCCAGGATGAGATGTATCGCCGCCCCCGTTTCAACCACCACCTCGTACAACCGTACGAACGCCAAGTCCCCACATTTTCCATCCGCGCTGCCTGCTCCGCATTTCCCCGTTCTCCGCTCCCCTGCCCCCTGTTCGTTCCCCCGCCGTTCCCCCTCCCCCTCCTGCAGGCGCAGGAGCGACAACACCTCCGCCCTCAGCTCCATGAGATCACTGCGGCGGCTGGGTAAGAGACGGAGGGGGGAAAAGCGCGGAGAATTTCGGGAGTGAGGAGGGGGAATGGGAAAAAATGGGGAGAAAATGGGGTGGTAACTGCAGGGGAAATGGGGTGGTAACTGCGCGGGAAATGGGGTGGTAACTGCGGGGGAAATGGGGTGGTAAGTGCGGGGGAAATGGGGTGGTAAGTGCGGGGGAAATGGGGTGGTAAGTGCGGGGGAAATGGGGTGGTAAGTGCGGGGGAAATGGGGTGGTAATTGCGGGGGAAAAGGGGTGGTAAGTGCGGGGGAGATGGGGTGGTAAGTGCGGGGGAAATGGGGTGGTAACTGCGGGGGAAATGGGTGGTAACTGCGGGGGAAATGTGGTGGTAACTGCGGGGGAAATGGGGTGGTAACTGCGGGGGAAATGGGGTGGTAACTGCGGGGGAAATGGGGTTGTAAGTGCGGGGGAAATGGGGTGGTAACTGCGGGGGAAATGGGGTGGTAACTCGGGGGAAATGGGGTGGTAATGTTATAGTCACAATAGGCTTGAATGTGCCTAAAACGAAAGATAGAGAGCACAGACGGTTTTCTGCACAGCGGCTTCAAACGTTGATAGCGTTCTGCTCACAGCTGCAAATGACTTGATTCAAATTGGATCTGGAGCGTCTTCATGTCGTCTACAATTAGCAATTTAGATTGCACGATTTGGTAAAGAATTGACGACACAGCGTCGGTTTGAACGAACGGTACTATGGCAGCCACTATAGTCTTAGAACACAAGATAGGAAGAGTTACGAGTTGGGAATGACTCCCAGCTCCTACAAACCCCAAGAGCCGAGGTACAGTGATGTGGAACAGTGCCACACTGTCCCCAACCACGAAGGGTCTCGAAACTACCCTTCACTAGGGCCTACACCAAGTGAAATGTTACACTACACAAAGTAATGTAACTATCTTCAATATCTTGAGGTGTACCCTTTTTGGCGAGCTTCGAAATCACTTGAGGCTTGACACCAAGGCTCGGACTCTTCATCACAAACTCATCCTTGAGTTCTTGATGGGTCTGCTGCACACACCTGCGACACGCCGAACGTTCGACACAGGACAAAATAGAAACCGCGCACGACAAAATAGAAACCGCGCGCGAGACACAAACGACCGCGTAACACGCGTCTAGCGATAACTCGCTATTGACTCGACACACACACTCGACATCATGACTCAACATTCACACACAATTATAAGCATGAAATATATATTATCCCATGCCCTCATACCATTCCATACACACACACATTCACGCACACGGACAACAAGCCGAGTGCAAACCGTAGGGTTGCACCAACAAACTCCCCCTCGGATTGTTGGCCTTAGGATATGTTGCTCTCTCAGTTCAGAGCCATCCCAGCCAGCTTGCAACACTTCCAATGCTGCTGCTCCACCAGCCTCTTGGTCATCATGTCAGCCGGCTGCCCCGTGGTCTTCACGTAGCGCAACTCAACTTCACCCGCGGTTACCATGCTCCTCGTCCAATGCCACTTCACCCTCATGTGCTTCGTGAGTCCATGCAACACAGGGTTCTTAGCAAGAGCAATGGCACCCTGGCTGTCACAGTACAGTGGGGTAGGTCCTTGCTGCTCCTCCCCCAATTCAGCCAGCAAACGCCGCTGCCACACAATCTCCCGTACGGCACGGAAGAGTGCCATGTACTCGGACTCCACCGAGCTCAAAGCTTGGTCAACCTGCTTCTTGCTCTCCCAAGCAGTTGGGCCTCCACCAACACAGCATATGAAGCCTCCCACACTTGTCATGTCCTCTGGTTCTGATGCATATGAAGCATCCGAGTAGGCGGTGAGGAACAAACGCCCGGGTTCAACACCATCCGCGCCCTTTTGGCGCCTTTGTGCCGCCGCCGAGTATTGCAGCCCAACGGTCGGTGTTTGGCCAAGATACTTGGCCACCCTCATTCCAGCTGCTACCTGCTCCTCATTAGGGCATTGCACAACCCTAGCCAGCTGCCCGGTAGCAAACGCGACGTCCGGTCGGGTGTTTACCGCCGCATACATGAGGCTGCCCACCAACGAGTGAAATCGGCGCCTCTCCTCTTCACCAACGCTCTCCTCCTCTGGTCCCTTCACACACTTGAACCCAGAGGGAAAGGGTGTAGCCACATGGCCTTCACTCTGCCCAAAGTTGGCAGCCAATGCCTCCAGGTACTTTCGTTGATGCACCCGCATGCACCGCTTCTCCACATCTCGTTCGATGTGGAGCCCAAGGTAGAAGCTCACGTCACCAAGGGCCTTGCACTTGAACTTGTCTTGAAGCTTCAGCATCACCTCCTTCACAAGGTCAGAAGAGGGTGAGAAAATGAGGATGTCATCCACATAAACCACCATGAAACTCCTCTGCTCCCCCTCGCCAAGCATGAACAAGGAGTGATCGGCCGTTGAGGGAGTGAAGCCGATC